AATAAGTTAATTTAAAAAGAAAGCTCAACTAAATTCAATTTAAATAAATTTAGTTGAAATTGAATTTAGTTGAAATAGAAGGTCAAATGTAAAAATATATTTATTAAGATAATTCAGCTATCTTGTTTACCAAATAATTTTAAGCATTCAACATTCCATTTTTAATATCACTTTTTAATCGTTCAGCTCAATAAGATAGAAATGCTAAGATTTAAAATTTTAACACACATATATATTAATTTAAACATAATTTAATTTCTGTTAGAGTATAAACATATATATTAACACACACACAAATAAAATCTAACTAACATATAAACTAGGATTCCCATTATCCTTATCCAACCATGATTATCTTTCCACCAATATAAATATTCTCAATTAAACCTACAAAGGGTTAATTCACAATTTACTCATTACTCAATTGCTGAGAGTTTAACAAGGTCCTTGTTAAATAAATCACTACATAAGCAAGCATATATATCGAGAGACTCCTTGGTGTTGGACCATAAGAAAGGGCTTTGATAATAACTAGCAGAAAATGGGAAGTCTTGGCATTAAAATTGATGCTTTGTTTTGGGTTGGTTGAAGAAACGTTTCACTTAAGGATTCAATGCTTTCATGAAGCTTGCCTAGGCAACCCACCATTGAATTCTTTTTCTCTGTTAAGAGTCTAATTGCAGTTCCTAAGGGCAATGACATGAGGGTGAAAAGGAAATCAACGAAATCCTTTCCTGCTTCTGCAAAAATGACTCTTTGGCCATTTTGTCTATCAGAAGCTTTAAACTGAGTTTGGAATTGAGATTTGAAGTTGCCATGAGACTTCAGGTTTTTAGAGACTGGGCAAAATATAATTATAGGAAGGTTGGCTTTTATGTTCTGCGACTGATTATATATACATGATCAGATGTGGAAAACGAAAGGTTGATGTACATGGGAAAACGAATGGTTGTCAAACCAAGTAATTAATTGTTGGCTTTTGGATTTTATCTACATTTATTTGTACAAACTTACGATTAATTAGTTGTTTAATTGTTCATTTCCAACAGTTGTAAGTAAATGAAGAAAAGGAAGAGTCAAACCTAGTAACTACATTAATTAATTGATGATTCCTTCATATCAAAATATACTAATATATATATATATATATATAATCAAAATATACTATAATATATATAATATATATATATAAGATTTTTGGCTGATGACAGGATTGAGTAAGGTAATTATTTATCTTAACCTTCAATTTTTTAATTGTACTTTTTTTTTTTTTTTTTAGTATTGGGGAGGGGATTCCAACTTGGATCTATTGTTGGATTGTATATATATGCATTTACCACTAAATTATACTTTAATGAATTGCACGTGTAGTTTTAGAGAAGAGAAAATAAAATTTTAAAATTAAAAATATTTACACACTCTATCTTAATAAATATTTTTTCTATCCGAAAATATGAGTCATTTAAGGTTTTTGCACAAAAAAATAAGAAAACAATTAATTTTCCCTAAATTATAACAAAACCTAAGATAATTTGACCAAAATTACTCTTTATCATAAAACTAAGAGTAACTTATGAAAATAATTATTGTATCAAATATAAATAAGGGTGCAATTGAAAAGAAAAACCATTTACTATATTTTGGAAAAAAAAAAGAGTGACTCTAAATATATGTCATGTAAGGTTTTTGCATAAGGATTAAGTAAGCAATTAGTTTTACCAAAATTATAATAAAATCAAGAGTAAATTGACCAAATTATTATTTATCTCAAAATCAAGAATATCTAGTACTATTATAAATAAAGATAATATTGGAAAAATATCATTTATTACTTCGTAAAATATTTAAAACAATTTATATTTTGAAACGAAATAATCATTCTAGAATGACTTATATTTTGAGACGAGGAAGCATCCAATATAGATAAAAGTAAAATTGAAAAAAAAAATTATTTACTATATTTTAGCGTAAAATAATTATTTTAAAACGATTTAAAAAAAAAAATTATTTAACTATTATTTTAGCGTAAAATAATTATTTAAATAACGATTTAAAACGATTTTTAAAACGATTTATATTTTGAGTTTAAGGTGAAATTTGTAAAACGCAAATGAATCACATTAAAATTTCTTAGTTGAAAATTCTAATACGCAATTCCTTTTTTTTTTTTTTTTTTTTGTAATTTCAAAAACAAATAGGTTGCTTATTTTTTTACTCTTCTCCTTTCGGTTCTCAAATAATTTCATCATCTTATAAGGTTTATGCTCGGGTGCGCACGGGACTGTGAGAATCCCGTCATGTTTTCGAAAATCGTCTCAAATTTTGTCCCGAGAAAAATCAAATATTAATTTAATAGTCTTGTACCAAATCTTATCCCTAAAGTAATTATGGAATCAGACTAGTTCTTAATTTGATTAAAATGGCCAAATCATTAAAAACTATCCCAAATTTTGCAAGTAATTTTAATTGTACTCTAAATTCAACTTTTTTCTTCTAGTACCCTAAATTTCAATTTCAATTATAATAGCAACCTAATTTCAAATTGTATCCAATTTAAAGAATAAAATATTATTTTTTTTAGACCTGTACTCTCTCTTATAGTCAAGTTAACTAAAAATTCATTGTTTAACAACGCCCTAACTAATATTATTAGTTAGGAATTTAAATTCATAAAAAACAAGTAACATAATAAATTTTAGTTAGTTATAAGCATAATTTTTAGTTAGTTTAAAGCATAAATTATATAATTTTTAAGTTTTTATTTTGTCATTTTTAAGCATGAATTTTGTTTATACTCAGGTTAAATTGTTCTTATAAATAATCAAGTTTTATTCATTTACGGCGTCCATTTTATTTTTGGGGAATCATACTTGGTTTGGGTCAATATTATATAAGTGCATGAAATTTTGTTTATACTCAGGTTAAATGTCTTATAAAAATAAGTTTTATTCATTACGGCGTCATTTTATTTTTGGGGAATCATTACTTGTTTGTCAATATTATATAAATAAATAAAAGTATTTTATTTTTAAGATGAATAAATTGTTTTTTATTTTAATATTTAATATAAATAAATATAAAGATTTATTTATTTATAAGCATTTTGACACCCCTAGGGAAAAATATAGGGATTTCTCACTTAAAGAAGAAATGATGCCATTTAGATTTTATCCAAATTGGGTTAAATTAACTCATGTCATCCGTCATCCCACAATTATTTTAGTCACTTTTTATACCAAAATTTTAAATTGGGATGTCATTATAACATAAGTTTCAAATTTAGATGTCCAGACGGTTAAGTTAAAAATAAATACAATTAATACAACTCGCAAAATTCAGAGTATTTTAAATGAATTACTCAAAGTTAAATTATATATAAACATGTCACGACTTATCTCACTATAAAGCAAACCCAATAAACATATTACAAGGGATTTAGTTTTCAATTAAAATTATTTATATTTTAACAATTTAATATTTTACCTAATAATAGTTTCAAAAATTTCCAAAATTTTTTAAAAAATTTACTTTAGAAGAGAAATGAAATCAATCTTCATCAAACCACTCAAACCATTATAAATAAAATTCATAAGCCTACAAGAAAAGTAAATTACATACTAGACTATTCTTTAAAATTCATTCATTCTTATCATAAAAATATCAATCTAAAATTTTACAACTTTTTCACAAATATTACAGAAATAACGAATAATTGCATAACTTCTAATTACATTAATCTGCTTAAGACAAGTTACTATATCTGGAATACACAAAGCACTACCTATGAAAGTATGTGGCCACATAAGGCATGCAGTGGAGCTATAATGACTAGTGCACAAGAGATAATTCTAGGGGTTAATATGATATTCTCTCAAATAAATATGACCATAATCTACATATTTTGACAGTTAGCTGCAGGACTTCGGTATGCCTATCTCAAGCCAGGGTTTCATGTTGCCATTGTAGTGTATAACAGCAACTCGAAAATAAGATGATGGAGCCGCAAAGGAAATTAGGGATTCAAGCAACGATCAAAACAGTGCATTTGACAAATTTTAGTTGCTTAGATTAAGTTAACTGAAGCTAGTTTGGTAGGTCCCATTTTGATATTATTATATTGCAAAGTCTAGATAAATTTTGAATCTAAAGTTGCAATATATTTAAGTTTTAAAATTGGAATCTTACGGAGATAAATATCATTTTATATTGATATTGCAACAACACTCAATGTTTGGAGATATTTTTGTAAATTAAGCCAATTAAAATAACAAAACTTAAATAATAAATTAAGTAAACGTACATACCTCGTCCACTCCGAAATTTACATCCATGTCTTGGAGAGAACCAAGATCAGTAATATTAAACTTGATAAGAAAAGTGATACTAGATATCATAGACATAGGCTTCACTTCCAAATTATCCATTATCATATAACTTGCCACTCCTTTCACCCGCCACTTTGCTGGAAGCAACTTTCTTTGCAGGAGCCGAAACAAAATAAGGAAACTCAGCAGACAGTCGAGGGAAATAGAGTTTGGATCATTTGCCGCAAATCGAAATAAGGTCCGGTACTGAAATTTGTAAACGCGTAGGCCTTTCGACAGAGATTATATTGATGATTTCCATTACAGAGATATAAATCTTTAAGAAGTGATTCAAGTATAAAGGCAAACTTGAATTTAATGGACTATTTCTTCAAAAATATGACAATCAATTCGTAGAAAAATATTTGTAAAGGATCATGAACATTGAGACAAGATTAGTTGATACTCATTACTCATGAGAAATTTATATATAAAAACAAAAACATATATTTATATGTTTTCATTTCATACTTTCATTATAGTAAGAAGACATTAATAGCATGTATAGTTTGTGAAATTTGGAAGTAACTTTTCCTTTGTCTTTTCCAAAACTAACTTCCTCTTCAAAAATAAAAGTTATTTTCCTTCAAATTTGTTAATACATAGTGAAGTTGAACCTTAAAGTGTAACAGAATATAATGTAGGAACCAAAAAGTATTCACTAATGTATTTGGAAAGAATCTAGGGACTACATTGTAATTAACCCAAATAATTTTGAAACCTTAACTAAAGTAACAATTTTGCCAGCATTTGGACCTCAGCCCACAATGCAAGAGAAAAGACCTGAGACACTAGAACATGCGGTAGGAGCAATTTCTTTAAAATGAGAAATCAAGTGACAGGATGGTAGATTGGAAATTTGCGTCCAGCTGAAAAATATTTTACTTTTAACATCTAAATCAGATCTACCTTTTCAGTACTGCAGAAAAAGTGTTGCATCTTCCTCTTGGAATGTGGCTACTGGTTCACTTTTAAATGGCACAGATATAGTATAGTTGAGCTGGTAATTTACAAGAATCGAACCAAAAATGTTGAATTTTGGAGCACTACCATAAGCAGCTTCTGCATCAGAACACTTCTTGAAAACAACTCTGGCACGGTTGGTATCCTTGTCTACTTCTGTCTCTAATTCTTTTATTGGCCCAAAGTGCCTGAACATCTTATTCAGGATTATTTCTGAAGGAACAGAATCCACCACAGGAAAATGCATTACAAGTTCTGCTGGTGCCTTCTCATCTAAGTAACCAGCTTGTTTCTTAGCTGATTGACCAGAATTGCCATCAGAATACCGCTTTCTAATATTGGAATTACTAGCAGGCTTGTCCAACTCCATACGCACAAATAGATGATCAAGATTTCTACTTCCACACAATGGTTGTTCATCAGAACCATTTTGAATAATCCGGTCTGTCCAATAAGTGTCACCTATATCCTCAAATTCGAACGTTTCAGGATAACCAAATTTGAATGTTTCAGGAGAAACACCAATTGGATGCTTCCTTTTATCACCAACTTTATCATGCTGTTCCATAATCACTGAGTTCCTAAAATCTGAGAAAAAACTAACAATCGTGGTCAAAAAACTGCTGCTTGTTAATGGATCTTGTGCTGCCATGTTAAGTTGTAACAACAATTCATTAAGTGATGAGGATTCTGTTGGAACAGTCATTCTTCTCATCTCAGCATCCTGATTATTCTGGAAAGAAATATCAGACCCATCCCAAGCAATGCCATAACTGTTGCTACCTTGCTTTTGGCTATTAGCCTTCACTATAGACTGAGACCCAGTCATCAGGCTAGCAGCTTTAGAGATGCATTCACCAACCTTGATGGAAGGCTTTGGTAAAGGAGGTACAGTTGTTGAGACTTTTGCAAGCGAGATGGTTTTCCTTCCTTTTGGCATAGCCGACTCATCAGCCAAGGAATCAGAGCATTTTTGCTTCTTCCCAGATGGTGAAACTAAGTAATTATGACTAAGTTCAATATTATGCTTACGTTTGTTGTATGAGCTTCTTTGAGTTTGTAAAACCTCTTGACGAGATGAAATATGCCCATCATCCTCATAAACAGGAGATGTAGGCACAACTTCATCTGCAAACTGTAAATTGTCCACTTTCTCTGATAATCCTCCACAAAATTCAGACAGCTGAGAATAACCCTTCAAACGATAAAAGGCCAGCAGCTGTGACTTGGCAATGACAAGCTCTGGTTGATCAGCCCCACCAGCTGGCAATTGTGCTAATGCTTTCATATTAGCCACCAATTTACCAGGTTCAAATAAACCAGCAAGCATGGATTTGTCCTCGCCATCTCTTTTACTTGATTCATCTCGGATTTCAGAGTTTTCTACCACCTGAAGTTTTATTTTATCATAAGTGTCCTTTAGTATACCTATTTCTGCACTCATGAAAACTGCCTCAGCGTCAAAGTTCCGTTCTGTTGCCTTGTTACCTTCGTCTCCAAGTTGCTCAAAATGAGCAACTTGTTCTTGAGCAACCATCAACTGCCCTATGTTTGAATCAGCCTGAAGAGTATCACGTACATTCTTATCTAAGCTTTCTTTCAGCTTCAACTCTTGGCCTTTTTCAGAAGGCTCTGCAACAACAGCAGCCAAAATTAAAACTTTATCCTTGTTCGTTGAAGTAATTTCGGTATCTATCTCAAACTTTATATGCTGATCATTTCCTGAGGAAGCTAAGAAACCATCCAGATGTGCATCAACAGGACCTTTAAAATTAGGATTTGTATAATTTTCAGCTTGAGCAGAATGACATGAAGTTGTTGAATTTAAACCTACTGTGCTATGATCTGAGCACTCTTCAATTAATAATTTCCTGTTTTCTTCAGAATTCAGAAGCACCTTGTTATCTGTTGCTGCAACATCACCAAGTCGTTGCTCAACAACAACTAGTGTTGGCTGTCGTGAAGATTGCACATCTGCAAATGCATCATAGTGATTTTCAGTTCTTCCACTGGCTGTCTCAAATGATGCCTGCAGTTCTTCCACTGAAAAACAAAAATTTTCATTAAAAGCGTCAGTGTCCATACTTTCAAAGTTAGGACATGTAATCTCTTTGGTGTCCATTAATACCACTTTCCCATCCACAGCATCTTGAGTTCGTTCATCCAAAGGTTTGGAGGTCGCAACATTAATGGGATCTTTTGCCGTTAGAACTGAATATATAGGACCCTCCACAGAATCAGCAGTATGTGCCCCCTCCAAAGCTGCTTCAATTCTGGGATTTAAATTTTCATCATTCAGCGTGACAGCAGCTTCCTTACCAACAAATCTGCCCTTTACAATTGAATCTTCTATAACTGTTGAAGACTGCTGAGCAGCTTTGGTACCTACCACTGAAAGTTCCACAATGGTTAAAGAACAAGCACCTGTAGATACAATTCCAGGATTTCACGCCTCATCATGCAAAATATCAACCTTTCCTGTCACTGAAATTATAAACAAACATAAACACTGCAGACTCTGAAATACCCATCGATATTGTTATTGCACCTCTACCTCAAATAAGTTTTCGATCACAATCACAAATCCATTCTCCATTAATTATTTTAATTAATCTAAATTTGCTATCCTTTCATTCAAGTAATCCAAACTAAAATCATATCAAAATTTCTAGTTAGAAATTTCATCCTAAAATAGCATAAATAAATTCACTATAACATAAAAGAAAACTGTTCAGAGGAGATACTCCACTTGTGACGCAGAGGTCATGAATTCGAGCTATGGAAAACATCTTTGTAAATGCCGGGGAAGGCTGCTTATGTGTGTGTGTATCTATACATGTATATATAATGGCACCATGTAAGGAAAAACTAGAAGCACAGTACAACAATATAATGGCAGCTATGGCTATAAAATCAACATTAATACAGTCCCTAGTAATCATTAAAAGTATTGAAGCCGTCCAGACACAAACGGCAAAAACACTATCCTCAAGCACATATAGATAAACCGAAAACAGGAAATTAACAGAACTGAATAAAGAAAAAACATAGCAGGAGAAGCAAACCTACCTTTAGCCGGAGCCATTAATTTATAACTCTTCATAGAAGCACAATTACCTGTGAAAGCCAAAAATCAAAGCTAAGCGTCAAAGAAATTTCGGGAAAAAAAAATTCAAAACAAGGTTTTCTGATTGAATCATACTGTGATAACAGAGAGAGAGAGAGAGAGAGAGAGAGTGTAGCGCCCAATAGATTGAGGGACGACAAAGAAGCAGAATGACAGAAAATTAACGGGCTGCGACGTTGCAGTAGGGTTTTGGAAAACAGAGAAGATTTATGTTTTTTTTTTCCTTTTTTCTTTTTTTGACTTTAACCTCAATCCGATTTTATACTCGTCAAATATTAAAATAATTAGGAGTTATAATCCTATTGGAAAAGTTTTGTTATATTTTAATTAGGAATTATTAGTAAATTAGGATTCCTATTACAATATATATATATATATAAAATCTTGAACGGAAGGCTACAAATTGACATTTAAAATCAATAAAGATGAAATATTTTTTTCATAATTTCTCATATATTCTTCAGTATTAAATTGATGATTTATTTATTTATTAGTATAGATAAGAAGCTAAGACCAACTTAGATTGTAAATTCGAGAAAAATCTTCAATTTTATAACAGTTAGTTTCCTACTGCTTAATTTTAATTTTCTTTCCTTTCAATTTTTCTTATGTATTTCTCTTGTTATGATCAAATCAGTAAATCTTTCTTGCTAGCTTGTTGAATTAGTTCTAAAATTTGGATAAGGTTAGTTTTATTATCTGTAAATAGTAGGATATAAGCACTTGATTTTGCTCATTTTGAAATAAATACAATAGATCATATTACAAATGCTATAAGTTAAATATCAACTATTTTCAATGAATATACACGTGCAACTTACGTTCTTAAATACTATTTATCTTTTAAAATTTCTTAAAAATCTATATTGTCTTCATCTTAATTAAGCTTAGATCAAGCTTCCGATAAATTTTGATTTTCAGCATTAAATTAGAGAATTGAAACCATGAAGAAAAAGAATCTAAAGACAAAATGGACTTTTCAATGGCAAACTAATAAACAAAATTATTTATATCAAAGTAATTATATTATAATTAATTAAGTTGCATTGTGTTATAATTTAAGTAATCCCTTCAAATAATCCTAGTTTATCTCATGAGTTTTTCAAAATAATAGTCTCACTTGTATTTTTAAAAAATGGTTTTTTTTTCACTTTCTCATACACCTTTGTATAATAATCATGTGACTAACTAATATTGATTAAATTTATTAAATAGTGAATGTCTTAATATAATTAATTTTAAAATTTGTATATACTAATAATTCATCCTATTTTGAAAGTAGCAAATAATCATTAATATATAATCTTTATGGTTTTTAAGGGAAAATATAGAAAAATAAGAAAAAAAAATTTAGTTAAATTAATTTAACTAACAATTCTTAAATTGGAACTATAATTTTCGAATAGAATGATCATCATGTAAAAACTTTAAACAACAGATAAAAAATGATGGGGGATAATGATTACTTAGATCTGTTTAGCAAAATTAGTTATTTTAATAGTTGTAAGATGTTGTAGTAATTGCTATCTATTTCATTAGTCATTAATTATTAGTGTTAGATATTTATATAATGGTTAAAAGTAGAAGGTTATATTTGACAATAACTTTTAATGTAGCATTTTGTGTTTTGAGAAAAACACTATCTATATTATTTATAGTGTTTGGTAGTCTAGTATTTATATTAATGTTTAGGGTTTGAAAAAATAGAATATGAAACATTATTTCTATAACGTTTCATGAAACACTAATAAAACAGTTGTAACTACTAAGATAGATAATAACTGATAAAATAGCTACTGAACAGAGTCGAAGTGTCCAGTAAACATAATTGTTTGTTTAACTATTAAATGTAAAGTAATTTTAAAAAGTTTAGTTAATTATTATTAAACACTAATAGATGTCAATAGGTAACATTTCATAAAATATTTCCTTAACATCTAAAGTTATTATCTACTATAAATATCACATAACCAAATACTGTAATTGGAAATGACCTTTTGACTCTAGTCAAAACAATAAATATTGTACGAGACTTTGGTGGAGATGTCAAAAGATAAGGGTGAAGTAATAAAATTGAAAAAAAAAAATTAAAATTGTGCCACTTTTAATAAAACAAAGGGAATATTAAAAGATTAATGGTATTTCATTATAAGTAAATGCCTCGTAACAAAAGAATTAAGGTAATCAAACTTAGAAAGGTAAAATGAAAAACGAAAAACTTAAAGTATTATCCTTTTCTAAAAAAGAAGCTAAGACTACAATCATTATTATAAATAATGGATAATTATGTTTTTTCCTATGAGCTGACGTGGCACTTCCTTTGAAAAAAGAAAATGTATACTATTTGAGCATCTCTTTAGATTTTTTAAAAAAATTATTTTCGAAATTTCCCACAATCTTTTTCCTTCTTAATAATTGTTATCTAAAATTTGCTACGACCTTTCTTCTTCTTAGGTAACATTTGGTTGGGAATAAGAAAGGAGGGAAAGTTGTAGTCCTCGGGAAATAAAGATTGTGGACTTGTTTAGTTTGCACAAAGCAACAAATTCCCGAGAAGAAACTCTACTTACCTAGCCGTATATGAATAAACTTCCCCTTCTCAACCCAGTTAAGTGCAACTTCCTAACCAAAAAAATTTCTCTCTTCATTTTACTATTTCTTCTTTTGAGCTTTTATATACCGTCACCATTCAAGAAGAAGAAGAAGCAGTAGTAAATTAAGGGATTTCTCTAACAAACATCAAGTGAGGCTTTAGATCTTTAATCTCTTTATTTGTCTTTTTTTATTTTATTTTTAATCCAAGAATAATTTCAAATATTCAATCCTCATTGAGAATGAGATTTGATTTCTGTATAATTTGTAGATTGAACCCTTGATTAAATTGATTTTTGTTTCCTTAATTAAGTTGATCTTTGCTTGTTTGTGGGTTCTTTCGTTTTGTTTTTTTTTTTTTTTTTGTAAATATTGATGTATTTCTTTATTTGTCTTCTTATTTATTAAATTAGACATGTTAATATTAATCTCTTTGCCTTCTTCTTCTCTTCTTTTGACTTGCAAATGTGTCATGGAAATATCTCTTGTTCTCTTTTTTTTTCTTTTTCCTTTTCCTTTTGGTTTTTACAATCTCTGTTTACCAAATGCCTTAAATATGATTTTGATGATCTCTTATGCTTAAAATTAAAACCACAAATGTAAGCTCAAAATCAGCGACCTAGAAACAAAAAAATAATAGCGAAATAAATTTATGGTGTGCTTGGTGTTCTCATTTAGGATTGCTCACGATATATATATATATAGTTGCAAATTTTAATACTCAAGATAACAACTCCTTCATTAACATGAGTTTGGGGGCGTGGGAACTGAGGAGAGAAAGGGATATTATGTATTTTGTAATTGAAGTCTTTTGGGTGAGGGATTTATTTTATCTTAAGCCTATATTTAAAAGAGAAAATAAATAATTGCACATTGATTTAATAGTGTAATTATTATTCTCAAACATGCACTATACGTCCTAAAAGATCCATTTTATTGGGTGCATTCAAGCACACAACTCAAATACAATGTCACCATGCTCCAAATTAATACTTTCTTCTTCAATAACATACTCAAGCAAAAAAATCATGTTTTAACAACTGAAACAAGTTGCCATTTAGCAATTATTCACTAATTCAGTTCAACATCTTTAACTCTAGAAAGATGGCTCCAAATATAATAATGCCTAACTAATCACTAACTTACTGGAAATGCAGTCATATATATGTGTTTGTTGTTGGAATATAGAAATATATTTCAATGTAAAATTAGTTGTATCATTCTTTTACTTTTACATTTTATTGTATTTTAAATGTGTTTAATTCATGTATGTTTTACAGTAATTACAAAATTTTCATTGACTAAAAGAAGGAGATGATTACCTCTCGTGTAGTAATTTATACTGAAATGATGATAATAATTATGGAAATGATGGCCATGGTTATGGATGTAATTGCTATGTTACAAATTAGAGTTTCTAGAAATATTTCTTATACATTTGGTGATTCTGCTCAATAATGATTGGAAGTTAGACTTTTAAATCTTAAGACACTTATTCATAATGATAATGAAGTTTGCATTGAAAATTTAAGAATGAACCATATGTGTTTTTATAAATTATGTGAAAAGTTGAAAGAAGCCGGCAAGTTATAAGGAAATAGAAATATGAGTGTGGAAAAAATGATAGCTATGTTTATATATATAGTTTCACATCAAACCAAAAATGGAAGAACTCAATTATATTTTAGGAATGGAGAGGTAATATCTGGGCATTTTAATTCAATCCTTCATGTTGTACTTAAATGTCATCATCTTCTTCTAAAAAAGCCAGAACCAATCAATGAAAATAACCCGAATGGCAAATGGAAGTGGTTCAAAGTAGTTTTCATTTACCTATGTTAAAACTTTATGATTTTTTTGAACGCGAAATGTAATTCTAACAAATATACACATCTTGTAAAATTGTTTGGGTGTGTTAGGTGGAATAAATATCAAAGTTCATGTGCTAGAGAAAGATAAAGTTAGATATAGAAACAGGAAAGGACATCTTTCAATTAATGTGTTATGAGTTTGTTCATAAGATTTACAATATATATGTTATGAGTTTGTTCAAGATTTCAAATATCGTATAATATATATATATACACACACACACACACACACACACACCTGGATGGGAGGGGTCTGCACATGATAATAGAGTACTTCGAGATGCACTTTCTAGAAAAAAAACCTTTAAAAGTTCCTTAAGGTAATGCTAAGAAAGTTAAAGTTTTTTGTATTATAAATCAAGTAATTCATATTTAGTAATAATAGACTGTTTATTTTTCATTATAGGATATTATTATTTATGTGATGCTGGTTACATAAATTCAAATGACTTATTAACCCTTTATAGCGATCAAAGATACCATCTGAATGTCATAAGACTGGTAATGGACCAAGAACAACAGAGGAATGCTACAATAGAAACATTCTCGAGCAAGAAATGTCATAGAAAGTTGTTTTGGACTATTGAAGCTTAGGTGAGGTATTTTAAGATGCACACTTTAGTATCCTATAAAGACAGTTTGTAGGATCATCTCAGCATGTGTTGTATTACACAATTTTATTAGAATGAATATGTAATCGGATCCAATGGAGAATGAGTTAAATCAATATGAAGAAATGGATTAAGAACCATAAGATGTTTATGGTGGAG